CTGTCCCTGTCCCTTGCAGCGTGCCCCGTTACGATCAGCCGCCCCCCGTGTCCTACCAGCCGCAGCCCCCGGAGAGGAGCCAACCCCTGCTGGTCCCTGCCAACCCCTACCACAGTGCTGAGATCCCCGACTGGCTGCAGGTCTATGCCAGGGCTCCTGTCAAGTGAGATTCTGCCTTTTCTTTTTCTGCTTTTGAAAAAAAAAATGGAATTTCTGATACTGACAGCAGGGCTTGTGCTGTATTTGGTTTTTAGGGCTGAGGTTGACAGCATGAGGGAGTGGTAGCGAATGTTTATCACATTAATTTGCTTCCTTTCAGGCATTTCTTGCAGTGATCACTTTGTGCAGCTCCCACAACTGGCAGAGAGCTCTGTCAGAGAGTGAAGATGTGTTTTGATTTCAGAGTATTTACGTGAGTGGTACCACGTGCTCAGAAAATATGTGAAACATTTTTAGGGTGGAACTTCCTCATGTCTCTTTTATTTCTTTTTAAACGGCACAGCTTTTCCTTCACCTTTAAGAGTTTTTAATCATAATTGTTTGTGTTGGAAGGAACTTAAAAATAATCCATTTCCACCCCCCTCCATGGGCAGGGACACCTCCCACTAGCCCAGGCTGCTCCAAGCCCCCTCCAGCCTGGCCTTGGGCACTGCCAGGGATCCAGGGGCAGCCACAGCTGCTCTGGGCACCTGTGCCAGGGCCTCACCACCCTCACAGAGAACTATTTCTTCCTAATATCCAACTAAATTTACCTTTTTCCAGCCATTGCCCTTGTCCTGTCCCTCCATCCCTTGTCCAAAGTCCCTTTCCAGCTCCTTTGGAGCCCCTTTAGGCCAAAAGCTGGCTGCCATCTATATTTCTATTTCTATATTTCTGTTCAAGAAATTGAATTAAAAACTAAAGGGTAATAAAATGTCATTTTGGGGAAAAGAAAAATACTGCAGGAACAGGGAGTCTTCTCCAAAAAAAGGTTTGAGTCAGCATAAAGAAATGAGATTTTCTAATGGGCGCAGCTCTGCAGAACAGCAACACTGAATAGAAAGCAATAAAAATCCCAAATGTGGTGTAATAATTACTAAATCATCTGCTATTCATAAGGAGAATATGGAGAAATTCAATTTTACAGCAGCGGGGTCACTCTGTAACTGCAAATTCAGGCTGTGGTGTTCAGTGACTTCCACTAAAAAAATTCTCTTTTTTTATTACCTGCTCCTAGTAACTACAATTTGAATGAATTTTATTACTTCTTGTGACTGCTGGGTTTGCCAGCAGCCCATAAAGATTTAAATTGCCCTCAAATCCCCCAGTACACTGAGGCTCCACACTCAGGTCCTGTAGGATTTGTTTGCTAGAAATACTTCCAGGTTTTGGCTGCAGATCCATTCCTTTATTTAGGTATTTGGCACATCCAGAAAATGTAAATTTAAATAGTTCAGCCTATGTTGTGCGGATTATTTTGGGTATTTTCTTGAAACTTGAGAAACAAACATAAAATTAATTAAACAATTCATCAGGGATTTCTTTATAACAAGTAGGCTGAGACAAACAACTGTAAGCATGGTTTTGTACTGAAATATTTGGTTTTATTTTGTCATGATTTGTTACTTACCCCAGTTCTGTAAGTCAATGTAGCTGTAAAGCCCAGTTGTTTTTGTTCAGAGGAGTAGATAATTATGGAAAAAATAAGAATGTTAGATTTTGTTTTAACAAATTCCTCTGGAGGATAAGAATTAGGGTTAGAAAAAGCCTGATAGAGAGTCCAGGTGGTGTTAACCAAAATAATCTTTGTTTATAGGAAAAAAATTCCTTCCTGTGAGGGCAGGGAGGCTCCTGGTGAGTGGGAAGGGAGAAAGAGGGAAAGGTTTTGTCCATGTGAGCTCAGGAATCCAGAGGTGCCTGGAAGTCTTGAACCCTCTTTGTCAGTACAGAGCTCAAACTCCAAACAGCTGCAGTTTGGTATTTCTCTTTTCTCGAGGGGAAAAAAATGATTTTAGGTGTGCAGCCCTGTCAGAATCAGGGATAACTTTAACACAGAAGCTGTGATAAGTTTTAATGAAATCCTTAAAATCCCTCAGAGCATCTTTGGAAGTCACCTGCACATCCTGGTGCTTCTGTGATGCCTCTGGAATGTGACTTTCAGTGGGGAATGCAGTTTATTTCCATAAACCCACTGATACTTCAGCCTCAGCCTCCACTCAGGTGAATCCATCTCCTCCTGTGCCTCAGCACAAACTCTGTTATCCCACGAGTTTCTCCTGTTCTGGAATAGTCAAGAGCAGTCAGCTCCCCATTTCCAAGCTAAGGAAATCAGATTTTGGGTGGGTCGTGTGAGGAAAAAGCAGGGAAGGAGGGTGGGGCAGTGAGGGTAGAACCACATCAGGGTTTGCATTAAATATCCATTGTAGATTACTGCTGCTCATTAACCAGGAGGGGTTAATTGGAGAGGTCAAGCAGCCAGGAACACTCGTTACAGCTGGATTGGGAACAGCTGATGGATGGGGAGGGAAGCCCAGCAGTGTCCCATCTTTGGGAGGGACCTGAGCTGCTGAAATAATTCATTTCTCTGTGTTACTCTGATTTTAACAGTAAATATTCCAGGTGTGTTGTGAATGCAGTTGCTGTTCAATGCTTCCA